AAATTCTGTGTTTCCATCAACTTTTTGAAACTTCTTTATTGTTTCATCACCTGCAAAAATTTCCCCAGACCATCATTGATCTGCTTTCTGACCCTGTATTTGCTTTTCTGCACTGTAATATTAGTAGAACTATACAGGATATGGAATACTGGTGTTACACTGTAGGTTAAGTACTGGACTACTAACTATAAGGTTAGTGGTTCAGACTCAGCCACACTTTGGAAACCCTATTCAGGGTCACTGTGAGTCAGAACTGACTCGATAGCACATAAAAACATATAGGACATGAACCCTGGTGTGCTGCATGATAAGCACTGGGCTGCTAACTGTAAGGTCAGCAGTTCAAACACACCAACTGCTCTCTGAAAACACTACACAGGTGACTATGAGTTGCAACCAAATTGACGACACACAACAATAGCAACTTTATATAAGATATAGCTCTTTGAGTACAGCATTGTTTTATAGCATAATGCATTTGATATTCATCCATGATAATTGTGTATAATAATTTGTTTTGTTTTTTTTATTGCTAAGTAGAATTTCATTTTATGAGGATATTACAATTTGTTTACCCATTCCCAAATTAAGGGGTATTTTGGTGGTTTCACGTTGGTAGCGTAGTGGTTATGAATCAGGCTGCTAATCTCACGGTCAGCAGTTCAAAACTACCAGCTGTTCCATGGGAGAAAGATGAGGCTTTCTGCTCCTGTAAAGATTTACAGCCACAGAAGTCCTGTACAGGGTTGCTATGAGTTGGAACCTCCATGGCACATAACAACAACAACAATGTTTTGTTTTGATCAATGGTTATTAAAGCTGATATATATATTTGCACACATGTTTTATGTGAATATACTTTATCTCACTTGAGTAAATACTTAAAGGTGTGGGATTATTTGATGATATGATTATTGTTCTTCATCCATTCTGGCTCATAGCAGCCCTGTATGAGGATTCCAAGAAGCTACTGGTGAATTTGAACCACCAACCTTGCAGTTCAAACCACCTTTCATGTCCACTTCTTAACCTACAGTGCCACACCAGGACTCCATGGTCATGATTAGTATATGTTTAAATTAATGAAAACCCCCAAACTATTTGCTATATTTTACAAAGTACTGTTTTGCATAGCCACTGGTAATATATGAGACCTCCTCTTTGTCTGCACTTGTCAATATTGGTTTGAAACTCTCAGACCAGATATTGCATGGGAGAAACATGAGACTTTCTGCTCCCCTAAAGATATACAGTCTCAGAAACCCTATACAGGGTCGCCATGAGTCAGAACTGACTCATATAACTACCATCACCACTATTCTAATAATACATAAATCGCAGCATGATAGAGAAAAGATTGAAGTTGTCCAAGACTTCATTTTACTTGGATCCATAATCAATGTTAATGGAAGCAACAGTCTAGAAATCATATAACATTTTACATAGGGCAAATCACACACAAAAGAATTCATTGAAGTGTTCAAGAGCAAAGACGTCAGTTTGAAGACTAAGGTGTGCCTGACCCAAGCCATAGTGTTGTCAGTTGACAATCCATGTGAAAATTGAACATTGAATAAGGAAGACCACAGAGGAATTGATGCTTTTGAATTATAGTGTTGTTGAAATATATTGAAAGACACATTGTCCTTCCAGAAGAACAAACCAATGTGTCTTGGAAGAAGTACAGTAAGAATGCTTCTTAGAAGAGAAATAGGTGAGTCTTTGTGTCTTATACTTTATACATGTTGTCAGGAAGGACCAGACTGGGAGACGGACATCATGTTTGGTAAAGTGGAGGGTCAGTGGTAAAGAAGAAGACCCTCAATGAGATGAATTGAAACAGTGGAAGCAACATTGGGCTCAAAGATAACTACAGTTGTGAGAATGACACAGGAGTTGTCAGTTTTTCATCCCGTTATGCACAGGGTTGCTGTGAGTCCAAATGCACTGAAGGTCACCTAACAATAGCAATAGGGGTGTAGTTGTATATTATTGTAGTTTTAATTTGCATTTTAGCTAATGATATTAAACATCTTTTCATGTACCAATTTTTCATCCATAAATCTTCTTTGGAAATACCTATTCATATCTATTCACCATTTTCAAAAACAGTTTTCTTTGTTTTGATTTTTTTAGATTTCTTTATAGACTCCAAGTAAAGTTTCTTTCCACATAATGTAATTTGTAAATCTTTCTTCCAGTCTGTTATTTTCTTACCAATATATTTTAGGAAAGTTTGTTTTCAAGTCCAGTTTATTAAAATATTCTGTTTATATATTATACTTTTGGCAATATATCTAGTAAATCTTTATCAAATGAAGATCACAAAGATTATAGCCTATATTTTTATAAGTTTTATATTTTTAGCTTTTACATTTAGATATATAATCCATTTTTAGTTAATATTTGTATATCAATTGAGGATTAAAAAATATATATATATATAAACTTTTGCTGAAATAGTTGCTGTTTCTCCACGGAATTTTTTCTGTAACTTGTCAGAAACCAATTGACAATATATAGTCTGCTTTGCTAAATGCAGTTTATATGATTTAAAATAATCACACTATGCTCGTAAATGTTTGCAGTGTGTGCATTTATACATTCTGCATCTTCCTTCTTGACTTGATTCAGTATTTCTTGCAGACAAAATTGTTTATAACCAAATGGGAATTTTGTATTATATACCCCTTGTCTGCCAACATATCAATCATATTGGAAGAAATTTGCATTTAAAAAAATTAATGTTATAACAGAGTTTGTATGTGTAAGTCAATTCCTGGGCATTATTCTTTTCCATTGATATTATACTTTTTCATTAACATTAATATTATGTAAATTAATATTATTTAGAATGTTTAAACTTTCTCCAATACCATGGTGTCTTTATTACCATAACTTTCAAAATAAGCCCTGAAATTTGATAGCGTGTGCCATTAATTTCTTTCATTTTTTCCAATATTGTTTTCAGCGTTCTATTTCTTTTATCATCGGACAATCTGTTTGATATCTCAAGCGAGTAAAGTTTTCTAAAGGTAATACAGAAATGGCTACAATCATATATTGACAGAGAACTTCCAGAGGTTCAAGCTGGATTCCGAAGAGGACATGGAACGAAAACTATCATTGCTGATGTCCGATGGATCTTGGCTGAAAGCAGAGAATATCAGAAAGATGTTTACTTATGCTTTATTGACTACGCAAAGGCTTTCGATTGTGTGGATCATGACAAGCAATGGACAACATTGCGAAGTATGAGTATTCCAGAACACTTAATTGTACTTCTGAGAAATCTGTACCTGGACCAAGAAGCAGTTATTCAAACAGAGCATGGGAACACTGAATGATTTAAAATTAAGAAAGGTGTGCGACAAGGTTGTATTCTTTCACCATACTTATTCAACCTGTATGCTGAGCAAATATCTGAGAAGCTGGGTTATATGAAGAAAAACATGGCATCAGGATTGGAGGAAGATTCATTAACAACCTGCAATATGCAGATGATACAACCTTGCTTGTTGAAAGTGAAGAGGACTTAAAACATTTACTGATGAAGATCAAAGAGCACAGCCTTAGGTATGGATTACATCTCAATGTCAAGAAAACAAAAATCTTCACCACTGGACCAATAAACAGCATTCTTATCAACGGAGAGAAGATTGAAGTTGTCAAGGACTTCATTCTTCTCGGATCAACTATCAACACTCACAGAAGCAGTAGTCAAGAGTCAGACGACGTATTGCATTAGGCAAATCTGCTCCACAGGAACTTTTTAAAGTGTTGAAGAGCAAAGATGTCAGCTTTAGGATTAAGGTGCACCTGACCCAAGCCATGCTATTTTCAATAACCTCATATGGATGCGAAAACTGGACAGTGAATAAGGAAGATTGTAGAAGAATTGATGCCTTTGAATTGTGGTCTTGGAGGAGAATACTAAAAATGCCATGGGCCACCAAAAGAACCAATAGATCTGTTTTGGAAGAAGTGCAGCCAGAGTGCTCCTTTAAGGCCAAGATGGCTAAACTTCGTCTCATACTTTGGACATATTGTCAGGAGGGAACAGTCTCTGGAGAAGGATATCATGCTTGATAAGATGGAGGTTCAGAGAAAGAGAGGAATCCCCCAACGAGATGCATTGGCAGCATTGATGGACTCAAGTGTGGCAGCGGTAGTGAGGTTGGCCCAGGATTGGACATTGTTTCATTCTGCTGTGCATGGGGTCATTAGGAGTTGGTTATGACTCGATGGCACCTGACAACAACACAACAACAACAATATTTCCAATATTGTTTCATATTATTTTTGAAATTAGCTTGTTGATTTGTACAAAAGAAATCTTACTGAAAATTTTTTGGAGTACCATCCAATAGATTAGTTTTGACAGAATTGGCATGCGACCAATACTGAATCTTCCCATCCATGAGCATGGTATACCTTTCCATTTATTTATATCTACTTTCTTTCTTCCATGAACATCTGTCCTTTTTAGCATACAAGTCTTGCATTCCGTTTATTATACCTCTGTATTTCTTTTTGGGGTGATGGCATTATAAATGACTTTTAAATTTCTAATTATTCATTGCTAACACATATAAGTTTCTTTTAAAAAATATATTTAAAGCTTTTTGAATGCCTTAAACAAAAATGGGAGGTCAGTAGAACCATACATAACAGAATTTGTTTTTAATACTCTTTAAAGTGTAAGTTGATGTTTATGACATCTTCATCTGTTTTCAAACTTAAGTAAACATGACTGTGTTGAGGTATTATGTTCTATTACAGATCTGAGAGCACGTATTTTACTTAACTGAATAATATTTAAATATTCTTAAGGAAGACTATAAGATATAGGTTGCTTTTCATTATTGATCTTGCAGGAAATTGCTTAAAGAGTAATTATAGCCCAGCTATGAATAGTTTTAAATTCAGCATTTTGTTTCCTTTACTGTTTATTTTCTGAAGTTTATCTTATATATTTTTTTATAATGTGGTTATTATAGATTTTGGACTCAGCAAGGAGTCAGTAGATCAAGAAAAGAAGGCTTACTCATTTTGTGGTACAGTAGAGTACATGGCTCCTGAAGTAGTGAATAGGAGAGGCCATTCCCAGAGTGCTGATTGGTGGTCTTTTGGTGTACTTATGGTAAGTAGTGTTATTTTTTCTTAATAATACTTATAGAAAATTAGTATTATTTAAAATTTAACTTAACTTCATGTTAAATACAGTGTATTTTGGTATGTGTTTGTTAGGAAAATAGTTTTGAATATTTGTCATTGCCAGTTAAAAATGTGATTGGCTAGTTGTTATGCAAGAACAATAACATTTTTGCATTCGTATTTCTTGAAACATTCTAAGTAAAAACGTAAATTCTAGATTTGTTATATAGGCTACGTAGATTTGAAACTTTAAAAAGATGTCCAATTATAGATTGTAGAATACTTTAGCAGTAGTATTTTAATTGACTGTCACAGAATATGTAATCTTACTGTATACTTCTTTGTTATTTTTGAAGTTTTATTGTGAATTGAGTGATAGTTTACATGGGGGAACATCAGTTTTACACTCATCTTATTGTATTAGTTTCATTGCAATGATTACAATCCCCTGCATGATTCATCATTCAACAGTATTTATTTCTATTAACTCTTTTTTATTTTTTATTTTGGATGTACACAAAAACACTCACGAATATGCAATCATTCAAACAGCCAAAGAGCACACCTTGCAAGCCAGTTCTCTAGCTGCCAGCACATGTCCCCTTTTGCTCCATGAGTCCTCAGCTGCTCAGTCTCTCCATGTCATCATCTCTGCCTCCACCTCTGGCATCTTCGCTTCTCTGGGTAGGGACCCACATCTGCTCTGGCTCTTATCCCTTGATGGTCCCTGGGTCCTCCGTTCTGGGACTGTAAGATCAGCCAATCACCCCTTTTTACTACAAAACTTCTACCTTTACAGTTGCAACAAATGCAATTAGTCATGATAACAACTACTCAATACTGAATCATGAAAGTCTTGTCCCCATCTGCTTTGAACACACTTGTCTAGACAGGATGAAAACCAATCAGTGGGGATTCTACCTTGCCCCACACACTCTGAATTTAAACTTCCTCTTGAAAACTTGTAATCCAGTCACTTCATACCTTCACAGCACCCCAATTTTAGGAAGCCAATATCTAAGTTAACCAATCCCTACCAACCCTGTGTACAGAGGGGATGGGACTGGTCCTTGATGTAAAGATTCTTTCCCTCTTACTTGGTATTTTAAGCTACTACATCCATAAGTTTAGGTCAAGTTCATCAGATTGTAGCGATTTACACTTGATTTCTTTAAAAACAAAGCAAAACTTTTTCCCCTCTTTTTCCTTCCTCTAGTTGGGTAGTGAACATCCAGCCATTGAAGCTATGTCCAATGGGCACTATCTTCAAGTTTAGGCACACTCGTGCATATCCTCTCGTGTCATATCAACTGGATGCTTCACTCTCAGCTCTATCCCTCCATGGCCATGTCCTTGTCCATGAACTCAGGAGTCCCCAGGTCTCACCTACCTTGGGCCAATCAGCTCCCACCATACTCCAGGTTGATGGGGTCTATGTATCTTAATCAGACTCAGCCCACCTCTTCATTGCTTCTTTCCCCCCAATTCCTCTCACCAGTTGACCAATGTGGTCACCAACAAGCTTACATGCCTTCTTTTGTATTTCATTTGAGTTTTAGTCTTGGGACATGGTTTGTCCAGAAGGGACTTGACTGCATGCCTTGATGGTTCTACAGCGAACAACTTGCTTGTTCTTGTAGTAGCCTATCAGACTGCCATTTTTTATTTTGTTTGTTTTTCCCTGCTGGTCTTTTAAGAAGTATCTTCTATTCCTCTAGATGCTCCAGGATAGTCTGCTTGTATTTTCATGTGGAAATTTCCCATCTAAGAAGGTTCTGGATGTGAATCAGGAGTCTACCTAAGGTTTTTTACACTGCAAAGGCTCTGCAAGAAACCTCTTTCACTGGGAAAATTTTAGCACCCCTTTTAGATATTCCAATCAGTTATGGGCTGAAGGCGGGCTTACAAGCTTTCTATAATCATGTTTCCCAATATTCCTTTCTATCCCCATCAACTTTACAATAATAGGCAAGGAAAAAAAAAATATTCATAAGACAGTCAAGCATCTTAACATTTTTTCCCCTCCTTTATCCATTTAGTCCATGCGTGAATTTCTGTATCAGAGTCCTTTTGTTGTAAGTTTAAGTATAAAGCACTATTACCGGTGTCCCATTTAGCCCACGCAAACCTGCCTAATTGTTCTCCTATCTACCTTGTTCTTCTGTCCCCCTCCCCCTTCTTGTGTGTTTCCCACCTCAACACCCAAGTGGTGATGTGTCTATCCTCTACCCTGTGCTCTACTGTCTCCTCCCTTCAACCCACGCCCCTGGTAACCAACAAAGAGTTTTTCCTTTATTAAGTTTTCTTCCTTTTAGTGTGACTATCTTTTCTTAAGCTTTTACAATAATGGTCTTATGCTATATTTCTCTTTTTGTGACTGACTAATTTCACTCAGCATAATGTCCTCAAGGTTCATCAATGTTATGTGGTGCTTGCAGCTTCCATGTTATTCTTCAAGGCAGCATATAATTCCATTGTGTGTTTATACTGCAGATTGTTTATCTATTCTTCCATTGATGGGCACTTAGGCTGTCTCCATCTTTTTGCTATTGTGAATAGTGCTGCTATGAACATTGGTGTGAATATATCTACTCGTTTTATGGCTCATATTTTTCTTGTGTCTATATAGCAAGTGTGGAGCTCTGGTAGCCTAGTGGTTATGTATTGGGCTGGTAACCTCAGGGACAGCAGTTCAAAACTACCAGCTCTTCTGTGGGAAAAACAAGCAGCTTTCTGCTCCCATAAAGATATACAGCCTCGGACACCCTGTACAGGGTCAGTATGAGTCATAACCGACTCCACAGCACATAACAACAACAACAACAAATCTTTATCCAAGGAACTATAGTAGTGTAGTGGTTTCGAATTGGAACTGGACTCCATGGCACATAACCACTACCACCACCAGCACCATATAAGAAGTAAGGTAATTGCTGGATTATAAGGTATTTCTAAGGAGCTCTGGTAGTGTAGTGGTTAAGAATCGAGCTGCAAACCACAAGGTCAGCAGTTCGAAATTACCAGCTGTTCCAGGGGAGAAAGATGAGGCTTTCTGCTCCTGTAAAGATTTACAGCCTCAGAAACCCTGTACAGGGTCACTATGATTCGGAACCGACTCTACAGCACATAACAACAACAAGATATTTCTATGTCCAACTTTCTGAGGAAGAGCCATACTGTTTTCCACAGTGGTTGGACCCTTTTGCAATTCTACCAGCAATGTAGGAGAGTCCCATTCATTCCACATCCTCACCACCATTTATTGTCCTCTGCTTTTTTGACTTTGCTATTATTGCTGGTGTTAGATGATATTTCATTGTTGTTTTAATTTGTATCTCTCGAATGGCTAATCTGCTGCACAAGACCTTCTTAAAGTGTTGAAGAGCAAAGATGTCAGCTTGAGGACTAAGGTGCGCCTGAGCCAAGCCATGGTATTTTCAGTAACCTCATATGCATGTGAAAGATGGACAGTGAATAAGGAAGACCATAGAATTGATGCTTTTGAGTTATGGTTTTGGAGGAGAATATTACAAGTGCAATGGGCTGCCAAAAGAACCAATAGATCCATTTTGGAAGAAGTGCAGCCAGAGTGCTCCTTGGAGGCCAGGATGGCCAAACTTTGTCTCTCATACTTCGGACATATTGTTAGGAGGGACCAGTTACTGGAGAAAGGTATCATGTTTGATAAGGTGGAGGGTCATGGAAAAAGAGGAAGACACCCAATGAGATGCACTGGCCAGGTGGCAGCATCGATGGGCTGAAGCGTGGTAACAGTAGTAAGGTTGGCCCAGGATCAGGTAGTGTTTCGTTCTCTTGTGCATAAGGTCACTATGGGTCAGTACTGACTCGATTGCACCTAACAATAACAATGGCTAATGATCAAGAACATTTCTTCATATGTTTGTTGGCTGCCTGAATGTCTTCCTTGGTGAAGTGTCTGTTTGTGTCCTATGCCCATTTTTTGATTGGGTTATTTGTCTTTTTCTTGCAGAGAAATTGTAGTCTACCATATATTTTTGAAATGAGTCCGTCTGATATGTTGTACAAAAAATGTTTTTCCCATTCTGTGGACTCCCCTTTTACTCTTGTGGTAAAGTCTTTTGATACACATAATTTTCTAATTTTTAGTATGACTCAGTCGTCTATCTCATTTTCTTTTGTTTGTGCAATTTTCACCATGTTTGGTAGTCTGTGTATGCCCTGTATTAGAGCCTTAAATTTGTTCCTATTTTTTCATTGATGATCATTATAAATCTGGGATTCACATTTAAATCTTTAATCCATGCTGAATTGGTTTTTGCATATGGCATGAGGTAAAGGTCTTGTTTCAGTCTTTTGCATATCGATTTCCAATTCGGCCAGCACCATCTGGTAAAGACACATTCTCCTTCCCATGCAACATAATCAGGCCTTTTGTCAATGATCAATTGGTTTTATGTTGTTGTTGTTAGGTGCCATTCAGTCAGTACCAACTCATAGTGACCCTATGCACAACACAACAATACACTGCCAACCTCACGATTGTTGCCACACTTCAGCCCATTGATTCTGCCACTTTGCCAATCCAACTTGCTGGGGTCTTCCTCTTTTTCTCTGGCCCTCCACCTTACCAAACATGATATCCTTCTCCAGCGACTGGTCCCTCCTGATAATATGTCCAAAGTATGAGAGACGAAGTTTGGCCATTCGGGCCTCCAAGGAGCATTCTGGTTGCACTTCTTCCAACAGAGATCTATTGGTTCTATGAGCAGCCCATGGCATTTTAAATATTCTCCTACAGCACCGTAACTCAAATGCATCAATTCTTCTGGGGTCTTCCTTATTCACTGTCCAGATTTAACATGCATATGAAATTTATTGAAAGTACCATGTCTTGGGTCAGGTGCACCTTAGTCCTCAAGCTGACATCTTTGTTCTTCAACACTTTAAAAAGGTCTTATGCGGCGGATTTGCTAAAACAATATGTTGTTTGATTTCTTGACTGCT